AGTGTAGAGTTGAGGTGGGGGTGGGGAGGCACCCGGGGGCCGTGGGAGGGTCCTGGGGGCACGTGAGGACCGTAGTCAGGTGGCCAGTGCTTCTGCCCTGCGCTGGGGTGGATGAAGAGAGCAGATCCATGCTGGGCTTGGAGCTGGGGGCAGCTAGGGGCAAGATGGGTGGACAAGATCATCACAGAGCCCAGTCCAGTGGAAGGGACGAGGACAAATGAGCAAACCGGCCAACAGAGGATGCCGGCTGTCAGGAAGGAGCTCTGAGGAGAGGACACTGCAGCTGAGACCCAAGGTCGAGGAGCCGCGGTGCAGGATGGCGGCAGCACCCCAGGCCAAGGGCACAAGGGGCCTTTCGCGGGTGGTGAGGACCCTCCTTGCACTTCAGGGGTGCTGGGGAAGAGGCCTGAGCATGCCATCTTGGTCGCCACCTTCTTAGGTTACAATCCTGATGCAGCTAAATCATCCGGCTGGGCAGGTCTGGGGAGCAGTGGGCCCGGAACATTCCTCCCAGGAGATGGCGCCTCCATCATTGCCTTCTTCAGGGCAGCGGGCACTGAGTGAGTGCCCTCGGGGGCTGGGCTGTGTGCACTGGCCTCACTCCATCTATCCTCACAGCGACCGGACATCGAGGAGCCGGGCTGGAGACCTGCCTGAGACTCAGCTGGCAGCAGAAGGACTCATACGACCTCTGGGGGCCTCACTTAGGATTTCAGGGGCAAAGTCCAGGTTGCTTGCCTTCAGTCTTGCCCAGGGCAAGGGCCCCTGTCACCTCCACCCCAGGCCCCAGCAGGAGCCCATGGGCCTCCCTGGCTCTGGCATGAGACCGAGAGCCCATGCCCAGCAGAGCTGCACCCGCCCACCCCCTCTGCCTGAGGCCCCCTCCACCTGCCCCAGGGTGAGCCCCCTGACGGCATCTGCAAGGCCGGGCTGCAGCGATTTACAACCACATTTCACAAAGCCCAGGGTTCCCTGAAAGGCCGAGGGAGCCCCAAGCCCCTTCCCACCCCCCAGCTGACTCCCACAGGAACAGATGGCCCTGGATAGCATCCTGTGTCAGGGCCTCCAGGAGCCTGAGGGGGGTCTGGTGCTCTAAACAGTCGGGAAACCTCTGAGGTGAAGCCTGGACTTCACGGGGCTCCGGGGGGCCTGAAGCCCCTTGGGACCCGGCTCTCACCCTGGGCTGCGCCCCTGCCCCTGAGCACTGCCATCCTCATCCAGGCCCTCCTCCTCCTCAACTTCTGTCCCCCTCCTCCTCCACTATTTCTTCCCTAGCCCTGTAGGCCCAGAATCAGAGGGAGGGAGGGTCCCCCAGGGACCGCACCTACTACCCCGGGGGTTTCCGTTTGCCTGACTCTCTGGCTGCGTGTCCTGGGGACGCCCAAGCCCCCGGCCCACGGCTGCCCCTCACCGGCCTGTGACCACACAGTGGAAGCGGGGGCATCTGAGGCCTGTCCTGTCCCAGGGCTGCCCTCGGGAGGGTGTGTGACGTGCTCTAGCTCTCTTCTCGAATTTTACCCTCACACGGCCCCATCACCAGTACAGACGAGGGAACGGGTGCAGAGAGCCCAAGGGACCAGCCTGGCTCGCCCTGGAAGTGGCAGCAGCATGGGGACCTCCGTCTCTGCCCGGCCCCTCCGGCCCACCCTCCCCTCACCTGACCTGGTACCTGCCTCGGGCCCCGGGGTGGCTCACGACAGTGTCCGGTCCCAGCCGCTGCACTGTGCTCCCCAACCCTGTGCCTGGCCTTTATGGCAGCTGCTTCCTCCCTGAAGGCTGCCCCCACCGCCTGTCCCCAAGCCCAGGTGTTAGTTAGGTGGCTATGTGGGGAGCCAATGACCTTGGCTGGCCTGGTGCCAGCTCTGCTTTTCACCTGGACTGGTTTCCCAGCTCCGCCTCTTCCCAGCTGGGTTGCCTCATCTCTCCGGGCCTCAGTCTCCTCGTTTGTACAAGGTACAGACAGGTAACTAAGCAGCGGTGAGAGGCGGCCCCAGCCTGCTGGAGCCACTCCTCGGTGCCAGGTGCCCGGGAGGTGGGAGCACCTACGTGTCCATCTCACAGGTGAGGAGCCGGTGAGTGCCCAGCGCTCCGTCAAGCGCATGCCCATCTCCCCTGGAAGCCTCGCCCTGCTCCCCCTCTGGGCGGAAGGTCACTGTGAACTGTGCCCTGACTCCCAAGGGGCTGCTGGACATTTTCCATGGGACATGGATGGGAAATGGAGGAGCATGGTGGTACAGGCAGAAGGGCTTGGAAGTCAACTCTCTCCACCAGCGGGACCCAGTGTCTCAGATCGGGGGGCGGGGAGCCCTGGGTATGAATCCTGACTCTGCCCCTCGGAGAACCTGTGCTGCTCACCTGCCAAGTCGGCCGGGCGCTCAGCAGCCCTGTGGGGGGAGGTGCAGTCGGGGGTGAGGGGCTCTCTGGGAGTGGAACAGTGGCTGGACTCTGTGGCTGGCCGTGGATGAGAAATTGGGAGGCCCAGAAGAGACCCTCAAACAGCTATTGCATTGCCGGGCTCCATGCCCAAGGCCACTATTAGCAAGGTGGTCATTCCTTGTGTTGATAATGACCCTCTCCAGGCTCCTCCTAAGAGGGTGAAGACATAGCTCAGACCCTGGCACAGCGAGGACTGGGCGGCGGAGCTGCGAGCATTGATGCTGCTGAGGGAGGGAGGGGGCAGAATGCATTAGGGGCCTTTAAACACGCTGTCCCACCCTGGGACTCCTTCTCCCCCTCCTTCACACCCCAGCTTAGCCCCTGCCTCCCCTGGGGGCCACCCTCAACCCCAGCCTGCTCAGGAGTCCCCATCCCCCTGCTGGCCTGTCTGCTTGCCCCTCGGGTTGTGAGCGCCAGAGTCCTGCTCAGACACGCAGTGAACATCAGTGCAGCGACATCCAGTGAACGACTGAGCCACACACCCTGGGGCAGGTCCCACTGCGCCGTGCCTCAGTGTCTCCATCTGTCAGATGGGGCAACCCCCACCCGGTAGGGTTGCCAGAGGCCTGAGTGAGAGTTGAGCGGACGCCAGGCATGGGGGGACTTCCCAGGGGCACAGGGGTCCGTCATCTCTGCAGGGAGAGGCTGGCGGGGGTGGAAGGCAGGAGGGGCAGGGGCAGGTGTGGGGTGCCACGAGAGAGAAGGAAGGAAGGAGAGAGAGGAGGCCAGGGTCCAGCCAGGGTGAGGCAAGGCAGTGGCAGGAAGGTGGGGGGCAAAGGCTGTACTAATTAATTGGGCAGATTATTAATTAACAGAGTTCTGATTTGAGGAAGGAGAAGAACCCAGCTTCTTCCAATTCATAAATAGGAACATGCTGCCAGTCCTTTGAAAAACGTGACTGAGCCAGGCCCCATGCCGGCTTATCGCTCATGTCCTCATGGAACCCACCGAGGCCCGTGGGGAATAAGCCCTCCCAGAGACTCCTGTACCGTGGGCTTGCAGCTCCCTGCCCGCCTCCCAGCCACTTGGCCTTCCAGATCCAAATAACCTGCCTGCCCCGTTCACAGAAGAGAGCAGCGAGAGAGACCAGCTCTGCCCTGCCTCAGTTTCCACTTCTGTGGAATGGAGACCAGAACGCCCACACCTCCTCACTATGAGGAAAGGCTCACTATGAGGAAAGGCAAGGCCAGTGAGGCGGGGGCTGAGCGTTTTCTGCCTCCACAAGAGACACCCCCAGTTCCGGCTCTCAGGAGAGGGAGGACCGGGCGCCTCGAGGGGGCAGCAGCTCCCTGGAGTCTGGACTCATTGGGAGCTGAATCCCAGTCCTGCCCCTGCCCCTTCTCGACCCCCGGGTGATCCTGGGCAGGTCACTTTACACCCCTGGGCCTCGGAGTCTCCATCTGCCATGTGGGGCCATCCCTGCCCCTCACTCCATGGGGACTAAATGGAATAACATCCAGGAGCTGTGACAGGCCCGTCCTCGGCACTCTGAGCTGAAGCACACGTGCCCCCACACGGCCTCACCATGTGCCTGGCTGGGGCGCCGCAGGGCCTGTGGGCGCCTTCCTCCAAGAGGCTCCCAGGACCTAACCCCCTCCTCCCACTCACTGGCCTCCCTCCCTCCTGCCTCATTTTTTTAAAATTCTGTCTTGAAATTTTTCATTTTTGAACAAGTGGCCCTGCATTTTCATTTGGCACTGGGCCTCACAAATTCTGTCACTGCAAAGTCCCCATCAGGCCATGTCCCCCCTGCTCAACACCCACCCCATGACCCCCCTCATCCTGTCACACTCAGGATGAAACCCAAGCTCCTCTCCGCCCACAGGCCCTGCCAAGTGGGTCCCTGCGTCTTCACGGACCTCGCCTCCCTGGTCCACTCGGCTCCAGCCAGTCCGCGCCTTTCCGTCCCTCCCACATCCCAGGCTCGCACTGGCTGTTCCCTCCGCCTGGAAGGCCCTTCACTCAGTCCTCTGCATGCAGGCTGCCTGCTCAGAGGGGCCGTCCTGACCAGCCAGCTAACGCGGCTGTCTCCTCCCCAGGTCCTCTGCTCCACAGCCCTGCTCATAGAAGAAGCTGTCTGTCCCCTTGTTTGCGTGTTAGTGGTCTGTCTCCCCCACCCACACCCTGCTTGCTCGGAATGTCAACAGCAGGAGAGCAGGGTCACTGTGGGCCACAGTCGTGGGTCACTGCTGCTCCCCACCTCCAGGACAAAGAGTGGCCCAGAGCAGGCACTCCATAAACAGCTGTTACATGACGATGGAATTCTCATGGGATGTGATCACAGGCTCTGGGTGACAAGTATCGTCTGGCTGGAGGGGCGGGGGCAGCAGGCCTGGCCAGTGTGCACAGCTAAGTGTGCACCCACACTTAGCAGGGTGCTCTCCCCTGCTCTGGCAGCCCAGAGAAAGCCCCCACTCCCCTAGCCTGCTGAGATCAGTGCCTCCTGCCCAGGCAGCCCCGGCAGTGCCAGCCCCTCCCGCCAGGCTCGCCCGTCCTGCAGAGACAATGTACAAAGGGCCACTTCAGCCCAGAAGCCTAAGGGTGGAGGAGGGCGGGGAGGGCACTCCCCACCCCTCCCCTGTCCTCACAGGGCCTTCTCCAGCACGGGGCGCAGCAGGCAACAAAATCAAGCTATGGCTGGAGAGGCTTGGTTCCACGTGCTGCATCCTTGGGGGGAGGTGTTCATGCGTGGGGGGGTCCATCCACGCACGGGGTTGGGGGGTGAGTCCACGCACAGGGAGGAGGCAGAGGTCAGTCCTTGCATACCTAGCCAGTAGGAGTGGAGGTGCTCTCACGGGCATCTCGCCCTGTGCACAGGGCGGCAAGTGGTGGGTACACCTGTGCACTTGAGAGGCTGGAGTGCCAGCTGGGGTGAGGGAGGGAGAGGAGCAGATCCAGTGGATCTGGCCAGGCTGTGGGGAGAGCAGGGCCCTGGGCTTTACAGTCGGTTCCCACCCCGCCTGGGACCTTCCTCTGCAAAATACGGCCCGACAACCTGCGCAAACACTTGTTCCAACAACCTGAGCTGATAACCTGTGACCTGAGCTCGGCACCCAGGGACGCTCCGACAACTCTGGGCACTCCCAACGCTCCTCCTTCTGGGCCCCGTCAGTGATGTGACCAGGAACCTGGGAGCCACCCTAAATGCTCCCTCTCGCTGACCCCGCGCACCTATTACCACGCCCTGTCTGCGCCATGCCCCGGTACTTCTCGTCCCTCCCTTCTTGCTGTGCCCATGCCGGCTGCCCCACCATCGGCGCTCACCTGGACACCAGCAGCGGCCTCCACGCAGGGCTACCAGACTGGTCCCGATGAGCCAAGCAAAAGCCACATCTGACGCTGGGTGCTGCCCCTCCCAGCTTGGAACCACTGCCCTCAGGATAAAGTCCAAAATCTCCAGGAGGCTCGAAGTTCCTGTGTAATCTTACTCCCAGTCCCCAGGCCTTTCCCAGAGGCTTCAGCTCAAAGGCACTTCCTCCAGGCCGCCCTGACCCCAGGCTGTGCAGAGACCCAGCCGTCTGCACCCTGGCCTGCCCCCAGGGCCCTCACCCCACACAGGGGCTCTGCTGCCCCACTCCTCTGGGTCCCCAGCCCCAGCAGAGAGCCTGACACAAAGGAGGCATCAACCTGGGTCTGCTGAATGAATAAATGGCCCTCCTCCCAAATCCACACACCTGCACCTTTCAGGCAACGCTGCCAGGCTCTCAGGCCTGGTGTGGGGCTTAGAAAAGTGGCTGCAGGTCCTTGTCACGCCCACCATGCAACCTGGGCTCGGCACGCCCCAATGAGGTGGCTCATCTACGTGCATTCTAAGGGTCCTTCCACCGGGATGGTGGTGGTGGAGACGGAGACACAGGCAGTGACTCCAGCCTTCCGAGACTCTGAGCAACATGGGGCAGATGGCCAGGAGGAGGTGCGGGAAGGAAGAAGGTGGAAAATGAAGCGACAGCTCCGAGGGGTTAGGATCCTCCCCCCGCAGCTCATCACTGTGTGCTCAGTGCCCAGCACCACGCCTGGCACACAGTAGGTGCTTGACAAGGCACTGCGGAGTGAAGGAATGGGCTGGAACTCTGGCTCTGCCACCCACAGCTCTGGGACCCAGGCCAGAACCCTACCGTCTCCTGGCCTGTCTGCTGAGGCACAAAAGGGGAAGCTGGTAACCCCCACCTGCAGGGTCCTCAGAGGGGTCTGGGGAGGCGATGAAGCTGCACCTAGCCCAGAGCCTGCGGCTCCTGGATCTGGGCACCTGAGCGCCACAATGACCCTCCTGCTGGGAGTGGTCCTGATGGAGCAGGTGCACAGCTGGTTGGCTCTGGGCACCTGGTGAGCCCTGGTGAGGCTGGAACAATGAGCCCTTTCTCTTTCTCCTCCCCGATTACTCTGTCCAGACCCGCCTGCAAGGGGCTGCAGCCCTCTTGGGTCAGGACCCGCCTGTCTCCACCCGGGACACTCAGTGAGCCCTCACCAAATGGCAGGGGACACCCCACGGTGCTGCAGGTGCCAGGCCCCTGCTCCTTAATATCAGGGGAGCCACCAATCTGCTCCTGCTCCGTTAATTAGTCCTTCTCACCTGCTGGATCCAGAGAGGTTCCGAAACAGGCCTGCAAGTGCTCAAACATCCCAGACTGTGGGGAAGGAGAGAGAAAACAGAACAGCAGCAACAAAACCATCACCACGAGGCGAGGAGGTCATTCCAGGAGTCAGGTGGCTGGGGTCCCGGTCTCAGCAATGCCACTACCCTTCTAGGAGACCCTGGGCACCAAGTGATGTGCCCCATCTCATCCCACGCTCACACCCCATTTCACAGATGAGGAATCTGAGGCCCAGTGAGGGGACACGACTTGCCCACGGTCAGGCCCCAGCAGGCTGTGGGGGGGCCTGGCTCAGCAGAGACCACTTGGACGCCCACTGCTGCTCAAGACCTCCCCACCCCCCCTGGACCTCAGTTTCCCCACTGACCACTGGGGGCACGGACTTGATCCCCCAGCCCTGGCAGACATCAGTGTTCCATGTTCCAGAAGGCCCACATTCTAGGTTTGCTGCTCCATTCCCCACCTCTAAGTTCCACATTCCAGCTTCTCTGGTCTAAAACGAGGAGTTCTACCTTCTAGGTGCTGTGTTGTGGTGTCTGGTCCCAAGTTCTCCTCTCATAGAAAGTTCTGCAGCCTGGGTTCTCCGGACTGCCCATGGGTTCTGTATTCTGTGTTCCCCAGCCGACACACCTCCTCCTCAGGCACTGTATCTCCTCCTGGCACCCACGGCGGGGCTCAGAGCGCCCACGGCTCCACGCTACAGCTCCAGAGGCCTTCAGGGGCACTTCACAGCAGGGAAACCAGCCAGGAGGGCCGGCCGGCATTCCCAGGCCGGGGTCCAGGGCCACAGGGGGATCGCAGAGCACACCTGTCCCCCCCATCTCTGCAGGATGCTGTTCTGACCCCCACCCCCACCCCCAGCCGGCCCCTGCCCTCACCAGTCTGCACTGCAACAGCCCCACAAGACGGGCACTTCCCCAGGTCAGAAACCTTTGGTCACTCATCTCTGGGTCAAGGCCTGGCGCCACTGCTCCATAAATGCTTGATGAATGAATTAACCAGGCAGGCCCGAGGTACTGGCCAGATTACACACCGGGATGTGAATTCACATATGACGGAGATGCTCATGCTGCGTGCACGCACACGTGGGTGGTTCGCACAACATGAATGCACGGACGCAGAGACACGGTCGCACCCTGAATTCTGCAGATCTGTGCCCCAGGCCCCCAGCCCGGCCCCTGGCACACAGTAGGCACTCAGCGAACAACTGCTGAACGAATGAATGAATGAGTACTCTGTACCAGACACAGAGTCGAGGGCTGTGGGGAGACAGAGACTGAGCCCCCAGGATCAAGGCTCAGCTGTGATTACAAACACCACTGCCACAGGTAGCGCTTGACCCGCATTGTCGGAGGACTGCAGGAAAGGCACTTCAAGGCGGGAGTCAGTAAGGAAGGCGGTGGACGGTGCCGCACCCACTGGGCACCGGGGATGGAGGTGAAGCCAACAGCCCTGGGGCCACCCCTGGTGGGGGGGGGGGTGGGCGGGAATGGCTTCCCAGGCAGATGGCAGCACCAGGGGTGGAGTGGGTTAGCTTTCCAGGTGGAGAGCCCGGCACAGCAAAGGCCAGAGGTGGGAAGGCGAGGGCCATGTGCAGAGAACAGCAATGGCCTGAGGCTGGAACATGCGGTGAGTGGGGGAAGAGGAGCAAAGGCCAGGCTGGCGCCACAGGAACACTGTCAGAGGTCTGAACGGAATTCTCAGGGCCTGGACTCGCACTGACCCAATTCCCGAGAATGAGAGAAACACCAGCTGTCTACCACAGGTGCGGCTGTCTGAGCAAGTGCCCGGTGCTGGGCGACTCCCACGGGGAGACCCTACAGCTACTCCCTGTGCAGGCCGCCCGCAGTGGCGACCCCAGATTCGAACAAATGGAGAGCTGGCTGTTCTCAGGGTGCCTTTTCCACCTTTCTCCTTTAGAATATAACTTCATTTTTCTGGTTATAAAGGTTTCTCGTACATTCTAGAAAATCTGGAAATCACAGCAAAAGGAACAGGACAATATCACCCACCACCCTGCCATCCCCCGGGCTAACATTTTAGCCTAAGTTCTCATGGATTTTTTTCCTGCGCACCCTTTTGCTGGAATGAACTAATGACGTAAATTTTCTGCCAGCCTTTGGGCAACACCCATTTTCTCTAAGGAGCTTTGTCCTCCACGCTGGAGGACCAGAGTGCAGACCTGGGCCCGGGGGACTCTGCTCCCCTCGGCTCCTTCCCATCCACCCCCAGACCCGACCTGCACCCCTTCGAGAAATGCTCCGGCTTGGAACAGGAGTGGGGGCTGGTGCAGCCCCACAGCCCTGGGCTCTCCTCCTACACACCACAAAGGGGACCCTCGGCCACTCTCTGTGGTGCTCTGGGCTAGTCCCAAGCGCCCCGGGCCTCAACGTTCCCTCTGGGAAATGGGCAGGTTCAGCTGACCACGTGGCCTCAAGGTTCCCCAGCCTGGCCCTCTCTCTGGACTGAGGTGACAGTCACCTGGGCTGGGCTGCACCTTACAGCTGCTTCCAGGAGCCACACCGGGAGGTCCCTGGTCTTTCCCATAATTCCTTCCCTTTGCCATCTAGACAGGAGGGACGGCAGAGCAATCCCCATCGCTGGCCCTGGTGACCTCCCCCCGAAGTCCTCCTGACCCACTCGTCTCTATTCTCCCCAGTGGCATGTCCTATCAGGCCCTGCATTATAATCGGGCCCTGAACAGACCTGCCCTGCCCGCAGGGTTCTCAGTCCCCATGGGGGCAGAGAGACAGAAATCTCTGGTGTCGACATCAGCCTCGCCCTCAGGGTGGGGGTCAGGCACGGCTCCCTGGAGCGGTCTTAAAGGATGAGCCAGGAAGGGAGGGGAAGGGCATTCTGCACAGAGGGACAGCATCTGCAAAGGCCCGTGGGAAAGCCAGCACCCGATTTCTCTTTTTTTGGTGAGGAAGATTAGCCCTGAGCTAACATCTGTGCCAATCTTCCTCTATTTTGTATATGGGAC